TCCATATTTATCCATCAATCACTCTGTGGAGTCACTCAGCTCAGCGGCTCTGATGCATTAGCGTAGCATGTGTTGACGTTGTGAACAGTTGGCTCCGTTGTTGCATGAAAAAATAGAGTTTTTATTTTCTTATTTTTTTCCCTTTTGAAACAGACGGTTCCTGAAGTTTTTCTTGGTAAACGTCATCAACAAAGTAGACAGTAACGTTTGTGGAGCCGATCGACTTCGTTTCCATTAAAACAGAGTCAGAACGACCCGTGGAACAGAACAGAGGTTAGAATTAAACTGAACGAGTCAGAGACTAATGGAGTGACTGATTATTTTTACAGGGAACTCAGTCAGATGTTTGGTTCTTTAACCAGTGTCTCACAGCTGTGACCTCTTGAACCACCGTACGGAGGTCACCGTGGCCTGGAGCCTTAATGACTGTCAATTTCTCTCTGTTATCAGTCAAATGTGCTCTGAAAAATTTCCCTTTGATTTAATTGAGATACGGAGGATCGGCGCGGCCTGAACAGTTCAGGCTGCAGTTTGAGGTTTGAGTCAACGCTTCCGTCTCTTTATCTGATCCACCGGCGACAGCTCATTATAAAGACGCCGTTTGTGGATGTTTTTGTTTCTGCCTTTTGTTGATTGCAGCATAAAAGCCTCCAAGTCATTCAATGTGTTAAAGCGTTTGAGGATTATTATTGTTCCGATCCCTCTTCACTCTGTATCCGTGGAGGCAGAAATCCCAATTACAGAGCAGCTCCAGGAGCCGCCAGGGCAAAGAAAACCACAAGATAAAATATCTAATCAAGTCAAGTTTCTGAACGTTCACAGCTGTTTGTTTGTGTCGTCAGAGTTCTGCTGTCAGTTGTTGTGGTTTCCAACACAGACCAGAGAGTGACGTTTGAAAAATGTCTGTCTCCGTCGTCACCTCCGTTTATTTTCAGCCTCGTTTTCACCTCCGTCGTTGTCGATGTGGCGATGAGTCAGTCAGAGTCGTTCAAGGGTTGTTAAAAAGTAGACGTAGTTACCAGTCAGTTAACCAGTCAGTAACCAGTCAGTAACCAGTTGTTTGACTAATAACCCATCTCTCTTGATTAACCCTCTGCTTCCATTTTATATTTAGGGTTCCTAAAGTGGGGGGCGGGACCTTTTCAGGGGCCACAGAACATTAATTTTTCTGATCAGGTTTTTTTTTATCCAATCAGAGACAGAACAGATAAAACATGTGACTGAACTCCGGCTGCAGATTCAGCAGCAGTCCCCACCCCCCAACCCCCCCCAGTCTGACTTTCATCTGACAGTTTCAAACATCTCTTCTCCACTGAACTCATTATTCTTTAAGTTTTTCTTTGTTCCGCTGCGTTTCATCTTCTCGGAGCGACAGTTTCTCCCTTTTTTGCCCAATTTACCCCCGTGAAGAATCACAGAAGGAACGTTTCTGTTCAACATCAGGTCATGTGACACCAAGATCCTCTGGATCTGTGAGTGAAGCAGCTGAGGCCCCTGGGTCTGGACCAGCAGGGGGCGCTGGACTTTATTAGTAATAATCATTGTGATGATGATGATGATGATGATAACAGTAGGAGTGACTTGAACCTGGTTCTTCGTTGTTTTATTCTTGTTGCTGAAAAATCATCACAGAAACAAAGAAGAAGAAGAAGAAGAAGAAGAAGAAGAAGAAGAATCGATCAACAGATTTATTGATGAATATCGTGCAGCAGCACAGCTGAGGCTGACAGGCAGTTTGGAGAGCAGCCCTGACACACACACACACACACACACACACACACACACACTGCAGCTCAGAGCAGGTTCAAACTGGTCTTCATTAACTCTCGGACGTTCACGTCTGAGCAGTGACTGCGTCGCCAAAACAAACAGTGGGTTTTAACAGTTTTATGGGGTCGCCAAAACAAACAGTGGGTTTTAACGGTTTTATGGGAATATGAAGCGGTTTGTCTGTGTGTGTGTGAGAGAGAGAGAGAGAGAGTCAGTGTGTGCACGTATGTATGTGCTCTCTCTCTCTGTGTGTCAGTGGGCGGTTGGTTCCTGGTTCTTGGTTCTTGGTTCTTGGTTCTTGGTTCTGGCCCAGTAGACTGTTCTGGTAAAGATGTAGAATCTGTTACTGCAGCATCAAGGCCCCGCCCATAAATCTGAGTAACCAATCTGAAGGCAGTGTCAGCTGTCATTCACAGAATCTTTTATGGAGTCATTTTCATTTCAGAAGGAACATCATATAGTCAGGTCCCAGTGGGGGTGAGGGTGAGGGGGGGGGGGGGTAAAATTCATCCATCCTGATGTACGACCAGGAGCTGTCCTGGGTCAGGGTTTACACCAGGGGTTTTCAAAGAGAGGAGTGCTTCCCCTAGGGGGCGACAAACCCTTCAGAGGCTGAAGGTGAAGTGACTGCTGTAGAAGGTTTCACCTGTCGTTGCCTTAAAGGTTGCCCTGGTTTGTCAACAGTCTAGTGGAACGCTGCTGCCTCTGTGTCCGTCCGTACAGTTTGGGGGACCCCGGGCCTTATTTTCTTCTAGATTGATTTGTATTAAACGTAGCTCCAACTGTGGTGCAGTGAAGAAAAGTGAGTTTGATTTTAAAAACAGTTTTAAAGTTTGACTGTGTTGCTGGTGTTGGAGCCTGTGATCATAAAAGACAGTCATTTCACTTTAATCTCTTTTTTTCTTCCTCCCGTTGGTGATATTGATTTTCTCGGTGATTGATTTTCTCAGTTGAAACATTGAAACATTGGAGGATTTTCATTCAGTGACGCTCCAGCATCTACCTGCTCTTCCTTCCTGCTGGCATCTTTCTCCCAGACAGACATGAATTTCCCAGTCTTACTAATGTATGTTTTTAGC